CTGAATAACTAGTTGTTTTCTTGATTTCCTTTAATGTTTTCTAAAGCTAGAAAGTTGCCATTTGAAATTCACTTAGTTTTGTGTCTTGTCTGTGATCTGCTTTTTTTCTAGAAAATCAAACAACTGAATGAACATCCTCCAAGACTGGTGATTCCATAATTTATGCCAGGGGTTGTAGTAGGATGTTATTTCAGTCTGAGCTAGTGAATCATCCCGGTTTATTCTTGCAGTGGTCATCCAGTTTTTAACCAGCATCAAGTGAGCTGGAGGATTTATTCTTTACTCTTCCAAATATCGCCTATAGTAGACTTAGCCACTTCAAAATGGTGTATTACGGTGGCCTGTACTACGAAGCGAGGTTACTGGTTTATCAGGGTAACTTGTTGGATTTAAGGAACCACATTTTAAATGGACTTCATATTCGTTCACTTACATTTTAGATTACATGTAAAGAAAACAAAAGAAATGTTAATAGATTTTAGTAAGAAAGGCGTAAGGGTTTCTCGGTCCAAGATTAATGGGGAACAGATTGAGCGGGTCTCATCTTACAAATATTTAGAATTTGGGTTAATTTGTACCTTTGGAAATGTGCATGCACAGGACTGTAAGAAATTGCAGCATTTTATCAAATTAGCCAGTAGGGTCATTGGAGTTGACCAGGCATCTGCAGCTCAGCTGTACAATGAGCTTATTACGGAAAAGATGAAACAAATTTTAGATGATCCTACACATCCTCTGTTCTCGAAGTTTGTCCGAAGTAACAGGTCGAATGGCAGAATTCTGCAGAGAGTAATCAGAACAACAAGGTATCATAAGTCATTTGTGCCGACAGCAATTAGACTGCACAACAACAGACCAAGTATATCTGTTGTACCTTAATTTGACCTTTTTGCATGTCTATTCAACTTTATTTATTCGCTTGCCTTCTCTGTATTTTTGTCATATGTACAATGTGGTATGTTTACTGTCTGTTTGCATTGTGAGACGTGCAATGTTGACCATATGAATTTCCCCTGGGGGGATAATAAAGTTTACCTTGACCTTGATTTTGCCCAGACTACCTTAAATCCGACAAGTTACCCCGATAAGCCAGTAACCCCGCTTCGTAGTACAGGCGCCGGGTTTATTTGTTCTGTGTCCATGGTGTGTCAATAAAAACAGAAAAATATGAAACAAAATACCCTTTTTGCCCACGTATGTTCCCTTGTCCATCACACCCTGTTCCTCCCTTACTCCACGTCCCCTTTCCCTTTCACTCTTACGCCCCAACCCAAGACTGGGGCTCTTAACAACAGCTGCTGGTTGTGTAAAATTAATTTGCGCATGCGGGTGCCTAGAGCTGCCCGGTAGAGGGAGGTGCCTGTATATTGGAGGTCCGGATAAGGGAGGTTTGACTATTTACTCTGCAGAGTGCAGCTTCATGGTTAGTCTGGTACTGACTGTTGATCATGCAGGTCTTGGGAATTTGTGGCTTGGATGTTTCATCCTCCAGGGATAAAAGGAGGTTGGAGGGGTGTGAGGTTCAAGCAGTGCTACAGTGCATGATGTAGAAGGTCTCTTGCAGTTTGTGTACTTGCATACACACCTGGAAGGATGACAGGTCCGTGCAACGAAATGACGGTCATGTGGTTGCTTGGCTGAGACAGTCTATCTATGCATCCTGCCAGTCAAACGTTTTTGCACACACTTACATTTCCTCACTTAACATTGACTAAAAATACACTCATTTTTCTTTGCCCTCAATACATTTATTGTATGTTCACCATTTGAGTACCTTTATTAGCAATGTCATATCTTTGATGAATCAAAGTCACCTCCTCTAGCAGTTATAACAGCAGAGAAAATATGAGGCATTCTTTCTACAAGGGACATTAAATACTGCTCTGTTTCATGGGATGGAACAGTTAACTACTGCATTTTAAAGTTAAAGGACAGCCTACAATTTGACTCTGCCATCACCACACAACCAGTTAACAGGATGTCAGACATGCACTGTTACACACTCTTTCCATGTTATAAAGGGTACTTGTTTTATTTGACTTATATTTTCATTTATAGTTCTTCAAACAACTTTCCAATGCTTAACAAGAATAAAAAACCTGCAGTTTATGAAATAAATGGGTAAGTGGTAAAACCTTGTGGTCTGTAAACACTGACTGGTAGTCTGTCTGTTGTGAGAGAAAAATTGACTAGAAGGATTTTTTTGTATTCAGCTTTGGAATGTATTTTCATATGAATGCAAGAGTGCCTGTGTGTTTGGCAGCTAACACCCAGGGATAAGCTAAAGATAATTAAGAGTTAACCTCAGTGTTGCAAGTAAGTTTGGAGCACGCTTACCAGAAAGGGCAGGAAAACCACAAAGAAGTTATAAAAAGGCAGGGGAGGTTAGATATGAGCTCATGCTAAGAGATAGAGGGTGTGCAAAGTACAAAAGCTTCCTGCCTGCAGAATACAAACTACATGAAGTATATATGTGGATGCCCACCTTGCGACACGTATGCAGTTTGCACCTTGCAAGCACACATATATTTCATATAGTACACCCTCTATCTCCTAGCATGAGCTCATATCTCACCTCCCCTGCCTTTTTATAGCTTCATTGTGGTTTTCCTGCCCTTTCTGGTAAGCGTGCTCCAAACTTACTTGCAACACTGAGGTTAACTCTTAATTATCTTTAGTTTATTCCTGGGTGTCAGCTGCCAAATGAAATACATTCCAAAGCTGAATACAAAAATATCCCTTTAGTCAATTTTTCTCTCACACTGTCTGTCTGTCTTTCTGTCTGCATGACTGCCTATTCAGCACAGGATCACCATCATCCTGGACCTCTTCCAGAAAGCAGTGGACAGGGGGACACCATGGAGGTGTACGGTCCAGGAGAGCATTCATCTCTCTAACACAACCTATTACCAAATATTCCCCACAGTGTAATAAAAACCTGTTTTTTTTTTTTGATGTTGTGGGGACCATTTGTCAGGTTCCAACAAAGACTCCAATCAAAAAAGTAAAAATGCCAAAAGTCTCGCATTTTGTTAGGTTACTTATGGTTAAGGTTAGGGCTGAGTAGGGGTTAAGGTCATTATGTTGTGATAAGAGTTTTCCCCATAGAAATGAACGGCGAGTCCCCAGAAAGATATAATTACAAACCTGTGTGTGTGTATGTGTGTGTGTGTGTGTGTGGATTAGTTCACATATAGTTTGCCGTTGGTCACATGTATCTGTCGGTGACCTAGGGACCCACATCCCCACATTTATCCTTAAAATACACCTCCTTTTAACACTTTCAGGTGCATCTTCCTGGTGTAATCCAGCAAACCCAGTACACAATGGATCGTAACAGGAGCATGGATGGTAAGCATTAAAACTACCATTTAGCACCTTTGGTTTGTCCTGCTTCATGGGACAGAAATTCTAATTTCTCTGGTATTATTGAACTGGTGTCATGAACTCGGATGGTTCTGGCACGGGGGCGGAGCAGCTTGTGGCTCAGTGGGCTAAGTCTGTGTGCCTGTAATCACAAAGTTGCCGGTTCAAACCCAGCCTCAGCATGTCTGCGGGTCCTTGAGCAAGGCCCTTAACCCCCAGCTCCCTGGGCGCCGCTACAGGTGGCTGCCCTTCGCGGACAGCGTGCTCCCATGAGGGACAATAAAGGATTGATTAAGCAGGAAAAGGAAGGTGGACGATCCACTTGCGGCTCACAGGAAAAAGGGGGTTTATTAACAGAAACTGAAAATACGGCGAACACTACAAAACAAAATGGACCACGAGGGGTCAGAAGGCAAAATAGGGAAAAACAAAAACTAACTACAAAGGGTTAGGGCAACAAGGAGCAAGCAGGCAAGGAACAAAATACAAAAATTAAACAACACGGAGGCACTTCTAACGTTATGAACCACCTACTGAAGAGCACATGAAATGCACCCAATGAAATGCACCCAATGAAATGCACCTAATGAAATAAACAATTAGCATGGGCTGGTAAAACAGGCAACAGGAGAAACTAATAAAACTAAATCTAGTATTAATGAAATCTAGGAAACAGAATGTAATACTAGGGGAATAACAGACCAGTAAAACACAACCAAGGGCACAAAGCAAAAACCAAAACCGAATACAAATCACAAAACACAGGAACTAGAAAAACTGATACAAATGAAACATTAGAGAATAAAAATCTACAAAAACAGAGGAGGACTTGAACACACGAGTGAGGGGTTGACAGGTAGCCTCATTGAGCTATGCAGCTGTCTGGGAAGCAGGGGAAACACACTAAAGGCTGAAAACACGGAGGACAGGACGGCCAGCGACACCATAGACATTGGTGTTTATAGGCTGCCTGAAATTAGCTATTATATGTTTTTTTGAATAAGTGCATGTTACTGTGCTATATACAATATGTGTTTGCTTGTTATCCTGAAGAGGAGAAGCACTGGCTGAGATGTCCAATGGAAATGTATGGAAGTGTCTTTTTAAAATGAAGCAAGTACTGAACTATTTGTTGTACTGTACTTACATTTAAGGTATTTTTAACTAACAGTCAAAATCTCTGAAGACCTTTGATTCTCTTGTACGTTATTCCTGTTTCTTTCCAGGAGCATCTAGTGAAAGGAGGATTGTGCTGGTGGGAAAATCTGGATCTGGAATCAGCACAGCAGGAAATATAATACTGGGAAAGGCAGCATTTGAGCGTGAATCGTCTGCCGATTCGTTTACAAAAACGTGTGCCCAAGCAAGTGGCACCGTTTATGGGAAGAGGGTCATCGTCATCGACACTCCAGGTGTCAAACACACTAAGAAATGCAAGGAAGATATTGATTGTGAGCTAGGATTGTGCCTTTTTAAGTATGCCCCCGGCCCACATGCCTTTGTCCTTGTCCTACAATTGGATAATCAAACGAAAGAGGAGGTAGAGGCTGTGAACAAGATTAAGGATTTGTTTGGGCAGAATTTCCTGAAGTACACAGTTGTCCTCTTCACCTGCGGTGATGGGCTTGACGAAAACCAGACCATTAATGAGTATATAGAAAATAAAGGTCAAAAATTTCTGAAGAAACTTGTTCATGAGTGTGGAGGCCGAGTCCATGTCATTGATAAGGACTGGAGTGAAGAAAATGTGAGTAGAGATAAGGAAAGAAGCAACAGCTTCCAGATTGAACAGCTCTTTGCGAGTATAGAGACGATAGTGAGAAACAATGGAGGGCGTCCCTTTAAAAATAAGCAACTTCAAGACGTTTCATGGGAGATTAAGAAAGAGGCCCAGCAATTACTGCTGATGAGGCAAAGTGAGGTTGATTGGAAAGAGCTGCCAGAGGACAAGTTAAAAGAGGAAGAACGACAGATTTGGAAGAAAGCCACTGAAATGAAGGGGGAAAGGAAGAGTTGTATTGTATTCTGATGGGAGCAGTAGCTACAAAGGTGTTAGTGGGCGTAGTTGGGGGAATTTGTGTTTCTTAATCATTAATAAGAATAGGACTATGTGTAGGAATCAATACCCATTTTACTGTTTGGCAAGTAGATTTTTTGTTTTGCAGGTAAGGCAGTATATAACCTTCATTCATTGCAATGCAACAGGATTAAGCTTGGCATATTTTATATTCTGACCAACCTCCTACGTACAGTTTAATCGGTGTGTGATAATGACTCTGGGTTAGATGGTAAACAACCCTGTGACTAAAGGTCTTGGCAGAAAGACAAATGTTGGTCAGGTTTAAATAGGGTTGGGACTGGCTTGGAGCCAACAAGGAGCAAATGTAAATATGAAGAGATGGAGCCAGGGGATTGATACATTAATCTCCTGTTCAGCCCAGGGTATCACAGAGAGATTACAGGCTGGCTGACCCAAACCCACTGTTCTGCCTTCTGGATACATTTTGCCTTATGAGCTCCCTAGAAGTTCTTGGTCTTAAAGGAAGAGCTTAAGGTAGAATTAATGTTACACCTTCCCCAGTTTGCTACTCAGGGAGCTGAACCTGCTCTAGGCTGGGTTCAGTCAGAGCCTAATCTTATGTAACCTTATGCTTGGTTGTCAACACTGTTTTTGAGACACAGAGCTCAGTTGTCACTTTGTCAGAGGTTTGGTTTATGGGGCTTGGTGGTGTTCTGCCACCTTCTGTGCCTGTCAGAAACCAGCGGGTACTGGCTTGCTGGTGGTTTGGGGTTTATGGTCCTTGTTGACTGGCTTCTTGTTAGCCAGTTGCTGTGTAGGGAATCCCAACAGCCAACATTCCACAGCTCATGTGCTGTGCTGCTGGTGTCCAGTCTTTGGGGATTTTTTTGTGTGTCTTGGGTCTAGTGGTCTTTCCACTGTTAGTTTCCTGGTCTGGGTTCTCCAGTCCTCTGTGAATAAGTCTGCTTTCTGCTTCACCTCATCCTGGAGGCTGTTCATCCAGTCAGTGGCCCGAGTCCCTCTGGTTCCCTGTTTACAGCAGTTTTAGGACTGTTTGTCTCAGAGGGCAGAGAACCTGCCATACAGGACAGGCAGCCCAGGTTGAGACGTTCTATCACAGTCCTTATTCCTGAATGCTAATGTTTTTGACCTGAATGCTCTGAGTCAGTAATGACTATTAGACAACCATTACAATAGTACCATTTCAATGCTCTAAAGAAAGAAATTACTATAAGAAAGAAAGAATTACTGCTGTATGTTAGGGTTGTTCTTAAGTATGCATCAAAAATAAAACTGCAAGATTCCTTAGGTCTCACTCTCTAATATTGTCATGGGCAACAAGAGAAGTATTTCTGCAAAGCTTGAGTGATACTGCTGCCTATTTAGGGGTTGCTCAAGCAGAACAAAGTTATGGTTAATACCGAAATTCTAAGTAAAGGTGAAATATAGATCTATGAAACGTTATTTTTACCTGTTTTTACATAACTTAACAACAACAGTTGTTTGTGTTGAAATCACTGAATATGAAGCAGTGCTCACAAATAGTGAATTTATTGTCAGTTACTGAAAATTTGTTTGTCAAAATTTGTGAAAATGTGTGCTACAGCTCTTAATAACATCATTCACTTTCCATTCCCCAACTGTTTCCATTCAACTGAACACAGTATTTCTAAAGACAACCGAAACAAACTTAAAAATTATTAAATATTGCAGAAAATCTTGCAAGTCATCAAGTCCGTAATCCGTATCAACACAGTTTTGCAGTCAGTTGTTGGAAAGTTTATGTTTAGAACAGTCAGGCAATTGTTTGCGATGCTGTTTCACGACCTGCAACAGGTATTGTTTTTGAGTTTCTTTCTTTGTCAGTATGGCATTGTACTCCTCAGTGAGTGAAACTGCCCGTTCAGCTGTGTCACTGACAACATGTATGTTATGTACAACATTCAAGCAGTGCTGTCAATCTGTGTTTTCATTCTACATCAAGGCTACATCAAGCTCCAGGAAACCGATGTTGCAGATGCTGAAAGAATAACAGTGTTCGTTTGGTAACGAAGTCCTCAATTTTCATGTTAGTGCACTGTTTCAGGTTAATTTGGATTCATTTTGCAGGTTTATCATCTCCTTCCTTTTCATTTCTGTTTTTAACCATTGCTTGTTTTGATTCAGAACTGACTGCTGGTCAAAGAAAGCCAGCCCAATGAGTTCCTCGCTGAGGTACCACAGGTGTCTTGCAAACTTGCTGCTGGCTACCTTTGACAGAGCTGGATTCACTGATTCGTATGCAATTAGAAAGTATTGTGCAATAATGATGCAGAAAACAATATGGCTACTGTAAACACTGCAAAAAATGTTTAACTGTTTATTCCAAAATTAATAAATAAGTAACAGAAACTTGAGTATAGCTACACAAAGCAGGTTATACAAATGCGAGGTGCCACAGGCGAGATTCACACTTTTAACTCAAAATCTTAAATTTTTCTCAATTTCAGCAACCCCGAAATTTGTTCAAAAATTGTCCAATCATTTTCAAAAAACATTTTCTGATGTCAAAGAACAAAACTATGGGGTGAAAGCAAGAAATTTCAGAAGTTGATTTTTAAGGACCACCCTGCCGTATGTTGGATATAATCTGAATGGATAACATTCAGGCTGAACCCTCAGCTTTGATGAAGAGCTGAAAATAACAGTGAAATGAACGATGCAACAATAGTTTGTTTGACCCCCTCTGGGACAGAGGAGAAGCCAGGGGACATGTCAGAATGAGCTTTAAAGAAAATTTCCGGAGCTCCATAAATAACTGCGGGCTACTTTGCTCACTCATATTGTTCTGATATCCTAAACTGCTTTTAGACAAAAGCTGTTAGAAACTAACTTAGTGCAAATGTGTACACAAGGCTTTGCATGAGTAAACATTTTGTCTGACTTTGTTATGGTGAAATTGTTTCTCTTAACTTCTAGATTAAACACTTGAATTAAACCTTTCTATTTACAAAAATTCAATGTCTATTATATTCTTTTCAGATTACCTGCTTTGTTTTTCTCAATTGCTTTGGAGCATTTCTCAAATGACTACTATCATTTGCAACACGATTGGTATCCACACGCCATAATGTAATTTCTGCACAGCAAAACATAATTTCTCATTGTTTCACAGAAATTTCCAAATGTTTTAGTTAGGGATGCACCGATCCGATACCTGGATCGGATATCGGTCCCGATCCAGACAAAATATGTGGATCGGCTATCGGCAAGTACGGCCGATCCACGGGGCCGATCCATGTTCTTAGTTGAGCTGCACTGCGGTACGTCACGCGTCCATATCGCGTGCACAGCACGCCGCTAAAATTGAGCAAAGCAGCAGTTCAAAGATGGAGAGACGAAAAGAGTCAGCGATATGGAGGTATTTCACTGTAGCTACTCCAGCACGTTCTACAGCTGTTTGTAATATATGCAAAACTGAAGT